GTAATTGAATTCCGGTTGAAAATTATCGATCCGAGGGGAATCCACGTTGACTTTAGTCGGCAATATTCCATCGGGAAAGACGCGTGATTATGGTATTTCCATGAACAAACATAACCGTACCCATCAGTCTGTTTAATCCGCTTTCCACAGCCCCGGAAACAATAATACTACCCATTTCGACCTATTGGAGGATCAATGAGTACCAGAATGCTGGAACTCGGAACAACGGAAGAACGAGGGAAAAGAATTGGAATATAAATGGCAGACTGTTGCAATTATTTTTCCTTTGTAACTAGAGCCTGGACGGTATTGCAAAAACTATGATACGTTTTATCGTTTAACGAATTTATCAAGATTTCCTTGGAAAGGTGGAATTACTGTTTGGTTTAATCAAGCTTGAAACAATAGACACTGTTAACAGGCATAAATCAAACGAATGAACTATTTTATTTTGAATAATCTTTAAATTTTATGTTAAATAATAACAAGAGTAATCTTCAGAATTACATTTTTATTTTTAATGAACTATTATTTTAAATAGTCAAAAAGTTCATCAAATTTGTAAATATTAGATTCGAAAAGTTGCATCGATTTTCACTTTTTAATCAATTATATTTCCGTCGAAATATGGTACAATGCAGAAGAAAGATTGCACGTTTTCTTTTATTGATCATAGATGAGATTATTCAATGAAATCGTTGGACAAGAAATGTTTTACAAGGGACACAAGATGTAGTACAGAAAAAGAAACTAGGACGTTCGTATTCCGGCTCCACGTCATCCAGTTTGCGCAAACGAATCGAGAGGTTGAAATTTACCGTGAATAATCGAATAAACAGAAACTTCGAATATTCGAAAGTTCGTTAATCCCACGATCGTAATTGAACTACAGATGGAATTAGAATTTCCAACTATCATTTTGTGCTATTAGTACCAAAATATGGTGGTCTCGAGCTGTAATCCCTTCTCGAAGGGGCAGCCACTGAAAAGTAGCTAAAGTTCATTCTAATTAAGTTATTCAGAAAGGAAATACATATACCGTAAGTCATTCATTAAGTAAAGATGAAAATGACTGCTGTTTGAACGCATAATTCACTCGTTTCTCATTCACAACTCTCAATTAACACACAACTCACTCATTTCCCATTCACGATTCTCAATTAACTCACAATCAACTCATTTCTCATTCACAATTAACTCACAATCAACTCATTTCTCATTCACAATTCTCAACTAATTCACAACTGACTCATTTCCCACTCACGATACTCAATTAACTCACAATTCACTCATGTCTCATTCACGATTCACAATTAACTCACAATCAACTCATTTCTCTTTTACAATTCTCAATTAACTCACAATTAACTTGTTTCTCATTCACAATTCTCAATTAATTCACAACTGACTCATTTCCCACTCACGATACTCAATTAACTCACAATTCACTCATGTCTCATTCACGATTCACAATTAACTCACAATCAACTCATTTCTCTTTTACAATTCTCAATTAACTCACAATTAACTTGTTTCTCATTCACAATTCTCAATTAATTCACAACTGACTCATTTCCCACTCACGATACTCAATTAACTCACAATTCACTCATGTCTCATTCACAATTCTCAATTAACTCACAATCGAGTCATTTCTCATTCACAATTAACTCACAATCAACTCATTTCTCATTTACAATTCTCAATTAACTCACAATTAACTTGTTTCTCATTCACAATTCTCAATTAATTCACAACTGACTCATTTCCCATTCACGATACTCAATTAACTCACAATTCACTCATATCTCATTCTCGATTCTCAATTGACTCACAACTAACCCATTTCTCATTCACGATTCTCAATTAACTCACAATTCACTAATTTCTCATTCAGAATTCTTAATTAACTCACAATTCACTCATTTCTCATTCACAATTCTCAATTAACTCATTTCTCATTCACAATTCTCAATTAACTCACAATTCACTCATTTCTCATTCACAATTCTCAATTTGTCGAAATAAAATTCTGACTTTTTTATTATGAATCTTGACTCCACAAAAGGGGAATCAAACAAAAAGAAATCTGATGAGGCGAGATTTGTACCATTTTCTAATCTATACTGAAATAATTATCAAACAGCTGTTTTAAATTGATGACAGGAATAATAGATGGTAACTTATGATTTTGAAATGTTACTTAACTTCTTATTCAGATATTTTTTTAACCACAGCTCTTTGTCTCTTTACCTGTTGAATCATTCTCCTACAATAGTGTTGTTCATAATACTTGTTGCGAACATATCGCGACATTCTATTTATAGTGACACTGCAAACAAAATAGTCCTGCTAACATAATTATCTCGATTACAATATTTCACGAACGAACTTATGAAACGCGACTCTACGAACTGCATACACACAGGCTGGCAATCAAGCATTGGTGTTACCGACAGTACGGTTCCAGTTGGAAACTGGTTGGTTATCGTTCTGTAATTAACACGTGTCGTGTAATTAGTTCTTCGATAAAGAACGAAATGGAGGTGCACAGGTTGCAAATAATTCTGAAAAATGTTTTACGTTACACTACAAATGAAATTTTGTTCATTTGGTACTCCATAATTTTTGTCCTCATTTTGAAAATAAATTTTTGCCATTCAGATTATGGCTCAAAGCTTTCAAGAATATTTGCATAGCTTTAAAATTATTATCCTCAATTATTGTAATCGAAAAGAATATTTAAAATTACTATTCTTATTTTTGAACTTTTTCGTGAGTTTTTGAAGAAATTTTTTCTATATTTTTCAAATTAATTTTTGTGTATTTCTTATATACTATAAGAATATAATTATCATGTTGCTCTTCAGGTTGCAGAATTACACACGTATTCCTTCAGCAAACGGAATTACCGTAAGTTTTTATGAACACAGAAAAGAAGGTTAATTAAAGCAATAATAAAAGCAAATATATTGGTTGGGTTATGTTTTTATGAACACAATAGGAAAGCTAATTAAATGATATAGGTTATGTTTTCATGAACATAGCAGGAAAGCTAATTAAGACGATAATAAAAGCAAAAACATTGGTCAGGTTAGGTTAAGTTTTTATGGACACAGCACGAAGTTTAATTAGGGCAACAATAAAAGCAAAAAAATATTGGTTTGCGATTCTATACCGTGTCGAGAAACTTTCGACGCAGCATCTTCTATAAAAGATACAAAATGACACGACCTTCTCTTCGAGCACTTCTTAGGGGAGCCTAAATAATGGCACATCCTCGAGAACGATCACGGTTGAAATATCATCGCAAGAATATGGAACGAAAAGAACCGGCGTGATATGTTGGAGACATTATCTGAAAGCCAACAGGCGAAATCGATATTTTTCTTGCCTCTATGAAAGGGTGTTTCCATGAAAGAGAAAAATCGTGGACCCTTGAAGAAATGTCGCATTGTTCTCATCGTGAATTTTCCACCTGCATATACTATTGTAATCTCGTGAAACTTAATTGCAAATTAGTGTTTTCACGTCCATTGAAGTTCACTTTGATTGCAAAATTGCCAGGCAAGAATTTTAGAAGTTATCGAGAAAATTGCGTTATTTCGCGTATTAACCGTTTCATTGCAAAATACAATTGTGTACAGTAGGAAACTACCAAATTTGAAACTACATCGCTGGTGGCGTTAATGAAATCTACGGAACGGTTCGCTGGGAACCAATTAAATCTGAAAATAGTTCAGTCGATAGTTGGCTACCTCTATTCGGAGCTTTAACTCAAATTAACGTTTGCTACATTGCAACTGCAAATGCGAAATTTGTAAGACACGAATATGGATCTATTAACTATAATTTGACATGTAAAATTAATCAAAATCGTGAAGATAATTAGTACACCTTCTTATCTAATGATTGTTAAAACGAATTTAACTTTTTAGCGTCTAAAGTTGTTCAGTATATTAAAAAATAAGTATTTGCATCCACTGTGAAGAATAATAATATTAAAATTTATTTCTTCTTTCCTCACATTTTACACTATTAATAACAATTAAAGAAAAATTTCGCCAAAACCCAAAACTAGATAGTATATTAAAAATTAGGAAATATTTGCATTTACTTAGACGAATAATACTATTAAAATTTATTTCCTTTCTTCCTCATTTTGCACTACATATAAATACCAATTAAAGAAAAATTTTTTTTATATTTTCTCTTAACTTGAAGACCTGAAATCCAAAACCACATGCTCCCGGATTAAATCAGAAACCTTGCAAACTTACGTAATTTAATTAATAAATTGCCTCTAATTATCTTTAATAATTTAACCACGCGTAACCAACAAATACCACAAGGTAATATACTTGGTAATTAAACCGCGTGTTTGTTCGTCCACTCGAAAAGAACACCGAAATCAATAGGAGCAATTGGTCCAGCGTGACACATATCGCTCGTCATATTTCAGTTTCTGTTCTGCCGGGTAATTCACCGAATAAACCTACAAGTGGTTCTGAAACAAGATATCGATCACAGGCACATCGGTCTATTAGCAGCTGATTAAACCTATCAACTAGTTAGTCCGATAACTTCTTGGCATCTGGGAATTGGCAACCTAAGTATCTAAACTGATCGATATTTGTCGCTTCGATACCTGATAATACAATCGAGATTCCTATGCCAGGTATTCTTTAATGTAACATCTGTTGTTTAGATTTCAATTTTAAGAAGCGTGTAAATAATATCAGATACAATTTCAAAACAAGCATTTCCACGCCATGTTTCTTGCTTCCAACGTCTCTCAAACGTGTCCCAGATGGTTCCACGTCGGATGAAACGACGAAATCGAATTCGACATTTAACTGTCGCCCACGCGTTTTACTACTGCGTGCTTAACGAACTGACTAATCGAAAATGTTAGACTTCCTGACGAGGGTAGTTTATGTTCTTCGTAGAGTAAGTCGTGCTTGCTTCGAGATATGTTAATTTTCAAGACAAAGTTCCTTTCAGTTTTTGTGTTTCTGGGGCTTTCCCAGAGGCAAAGTGAGTAAGTGCGTGAGTGAGTGAGTGAGTGAGTGAGTGAGTGAGTGTGTGAGTGGATGACTGAGAGAGTGAGTGGAGGAGTGACTGAGTAGATGAGTAAGTGGATAAGCGAGAGAGTTAGTGAGAATAAGTGAGTGAAGGAGTGAGTAAATGAGTGAGTGAGTAGGTGAGTAAAAGAGTGAGTGAGTGAGTCGATGAGTGAAAGAGTAAGTAAAGGAGTAAGTGAGTGAGAGAGTGGATAAGTGAAAGACTGAGAGAAGGATTGAGTGAGTGGATGAGTGAGAGAATAAGTGAAGCAGTGAGTGAATGGGTGAGTGAGAGAGTAAGTGAAGGAGTGAGTATATGAGTGAGTGAATGAGTGAGTGAGTGGATGACTGAGAGAGTGAGTGGAGGAGTGACTGAGTAGGTGAGTGAGTGAGTGAGTGAGTGAGTGAGTGAGTGAGTGAGTGAGTGAGTGAGTGAGTGAAGGAGTGAGTATATGAGTGAGTGAATGAGTGAGTGAGTGGATGACTGAGAGAGTGAGTAGAGGAGTGACTGAGTAGGTGAGTGAGTGAGTGAGTGAGTGAGTGAGTGAGTGAGTGAGTGAGTAAGTGAGTGAGAGAGTGAGTGACTGAATGAGAGTGAGTGAGTGAAGGAGTGAGTAAATGAGTGAGTGAGTAGGTGAGTAAAAGAATGAGTGAGTGAGTGGATGAGTGAAAGAGTAAGTAAGGGAGTAAGTGAGTGAGTAAGTGAGTGGATAAGTGAAAGACTGAGCAAAGGATTAAGTGAGTGGATGAGTGAGAGAATGAGTGAAGGAGTGAGTATATGAGTGAGTGAGTGGATGAATGAGTGAGTGGGTGAGTGAAAGCGTGAGTGAGTGAGTGAGTGAGTGAGTGAGAGAGACCTAGAAGATAAAGCAGACCGCGACAATGACGGACTGATGGCAAACGTGGACGACATATCCTCAGTAACTACGATTCCTGAATACCAATGAGGGAGGAAAGTTGGATAAACAATCTTGCCTGTGTAAACAGACACTTAGACTATATAGAAACACTGCCTCTTCGATCGAATAAAATTAATCGGTGGCTACATGGGTAGCACGAGGAAGGAATCTTCGACTTCCATTTGTGTTGTTTACGACGTGCTCAATGGAGTAATTTTGGGAAAGGTACAGCTATTGAGCTGACACGTGGCTCGGTTTTACTCTGTTGCACAGCACCGAGGGATGCTGCAAATAAGGATCACCTCTACGATTGCGGTTCTTGCAACTTTGGTTAGAATATCGATTCGCCGGGACTTGGACGTGACTGGGAAATGTCAATTAACTTCTCGTACAAAGTTACTTCAGTTACATTGCTCTTGGTGGAAACTGAAATATCGTAAATTTATGGAAGGGCTACACGTGGACAAACGGACTTCGGATTTACGAATGCAATTTTCTCGAATCTAGAAAATCTTGCAAGAGTTTTACATGATAGAAACTTTTTTTCCATTCGTAATCGTTTGTGATTATTAACATACATTTTTACTTAACTGAAAGCATATGATATATACTTTTTTCTAATGATCTATTCTTCTTTGTAATAAGATAAATGTATATAATTTATTGCTTGAAAATTTCGAAAATAAAATCGGCCAAAAATAAAGAATATTATAATTCCTGAGCACACAGAAGATTTTTATACGTATTCCTGACATTAATACGTAAAAAGTCTAAAATTCGAAAGTAAAATTAGCCAAAAACTAGGAATATTCATAATAAATTTCTAATTACGTATTACTGAAATTATTGTCACGTTTTCCTCATTTATCCCTGTAAATAATTATTTTTCAACGCGGAAATAAACGATAGCTTCTTACAGACATACAAAAACGCGAAATTCTATGAAACTCTTTCAACGTGAACATTTGTAACTTCGAATCACAGGCCCGATATCACGTTTTCCCGCTTTAATCTGTTTCCGTAATACTCGATTGACGAACTTTGTGCACGCGCGGATATAAAATCTCTAATGAAAATTGCTCGATTCGATGGAAGATTAAGTTCGAACATTATAGACATCAAAAGCTTTTCTATCGCTTTGCTTTCGAAACAGTTCATCGACTGGTCTCTACAGCGAGAACAACACGAGGTCTTTTAATCGAGCGCATCGTTCGTAGGCGTTTAATTGACACGTTGGTGGGAAAAAAGCAACAGTGACGAGTTGTAAAAAAAAATTCGTTTGCACGGTGAAACAGTAAAAACAATTGGAATTCGATGAAATTCATCGGTTTAAAAAACAGAAGTCCCGTGGGTTGATAACACTATCCGATATGTTTGTTCAGATAGAATACAGCATTGTGTAAATGAAACTTCCAATACAATTAATAATCGAGAGCTGTAAAATCAAAAATACACAAAATTTAAAGCCGTTAAAACTTAACGACATCGAATCAATTCTCTCAAAGCACTCTCCTTAATATCCAATAAAAATCAAAACAAAATTAACCGATTATCAACGCAACAGGTGATTGAAAGATTGCATAAGTAATCATTAAGAAGTCTACCTCTCTGTCGATAAAAAAGACACAATGGAATAACTTATGTAAAGGCTGTTATTGCGCAATTGGAAGCATCTGAAGAATACAGCTCGGGAACAACATTCCATGAAATATCTTCTCAGAATTACCGAAGCTTTACAAATGTCTGTGCACAATTTTTCGGAATATCGTTTAAAAATCGTGTAACTTCAAGGTAAATTCGCGCGTAGAATCACGAATTACACGAGCAGAGATACAGAGAGAAAGAGAGATTAAGTACAATCTCAGAAGGATCATTACAGAACTTATAGAAACAAGTAGAATACATCGCATGCACTTTACTCGAGGGAAAGTTCCAAGAAATTGGACCGTCTTCTCAACTTATATCTCTCACCGGTGAAAGAAGCGAGACAAAATGCGAGGACCGGAGGGAGCTCGACGAATAAAAATTACTCGAGAAATAAAAAGACAGTTTCGAGGGAGAGATATCGGTTGTTCTTTTCCTTTATCGATTCAAACAGTCGTCCGTTAAAGAACACGATGTAACGAAGTTCCCCGAGAGAGGAGCTCGTCAGTGAGTAATTCTTTCCGCGTCAGTAGATAAGTTACTGGTCAGGTGGAAGGTTGAAAAGAAATTCCAATCACTGTACGTTCAAATCTCTCGTTAATTAGTACAGTAAATACAACGAGTATTCCTGTGAACTATTACCAGATATTGTTATTAACGCACCGGTTTCCTTAATTCTCCGTTGTTTATCCGTTTTGCCACACGAGTTGATATTTTATCGTGAAATTGTACGAATAATAATTATTCGTCTTGAAAATTGCACTTCTTTTTTAATTTTCTGTCGATATGAATATTTGTAACTCGATCGTGTCATTTGATTTCGAAACCGAAATTGGCCAAATATAAAAAATAGTGTAAATAGTGGATAAGTATATGTGAATACAGAAGATATTTCTACACGGTGAATTTGTAATTACGTATTACTGAAATAATTGTGAATTTATAATTACGTATTACTGAAATTATTGTGATTTTCTCCTCGTTTATCTTAATGAATAATTTTTTTTAAACGTCGAGAAGCGCAGAAATGAATCGTAGCTTCTTAGAAGCATGGAAAACGCAGAATTCTGAGAAACTCTTCCATCGCAAATGTTTGTAGTATCATCTTAAAAATGACATATTAAAAATAATATTTTTTTCTAATTCTCCCTCAGTTTAACTCATTTTCAGTGCTTAAATTTATTATTATTATACATGTATAAAGGTAATGCCACATTGTGTATTCATAAAGGTTTCTGAAAAGCATTTTTAAAGAATGAGATAGATTTTATGATTATTAAATGAATTTGTTACGATCATTGATAGGATCAGAGGAATAATTCAAATATTAAAGCGTATTTTCCATATATTTAAAGCTTATTATTACTTTCCAAGTACATGCAAATGTTACATAGGCAAACATTGCTCGAAATTTTCTCTACTAGGCAACAAAGTAAACTCTATCCGCAGTGTCAGGAGCTTCGGTGAACATCATAAACCACTACCCTTCGTGCCGCATTAGCAATAGTTGCGATCGATTCCTGGAGTTTACCACCTACGATCCCAGGAACCCTCGACCAGCTGTCGTTTGCTAAACCTTTGGTAACTGATAGAATTCGAACACTCGTGCACAGAATTAAGGCGAAGTTTGGCGAAATTTTACATTTCGCGAAATTTGAGAATTTTTACTTTTCGCGAAATTTGAGAATTTCTTAATTTTGGCGAAATTTTGCGAATTCCTATTTTTGGCGAAATTTGGCAAATTCTTATTTTTGGCAAAATTTGACGAAATATTACCTACTTTTGACAAAATTTGACGAATTTTTTATTTTCGCGAAATTTGAGGAATTCCTAATTTTGACGAAATTTGGCAAATTCTTATTTTTGGCCAAAATATGACAAATTCTTAATTTTAATGAAATTTGACAAATTCTTAATTTATAAATTTTGATGATTTCTTATTTTAGTGAAACTTGACGAATTCCTACTTTTGGCGAAATTGTCGCCAAAAAATTGTGGATATTCGAACTGTTATAACTTTGTGAAGAAAAATCACATAATAATCCACTTGCTATCATTTTGAGGAGCAAAGCCTCTATTTTCATCTCGCTAAGTAATTTTCCTCGAACATGCTTTTCCACTAAGCAGCGACACGATAATCTGAAGATGCTTCTTTTTCTCGAAAATTTTAAAAATTCAAACTGTATAGAATTTAAAAAATCTTTTTCACTACTCAAATCACCATGAGTTTAAAGATTGAAGCCTCCCCTTTACAACGACACCTCAACAATTGATGTGCGATTTTTTTTCGCCATTTTGTAGCACTTTGAATGAAAAGTGTGCCGCCATTGTTAGAATTACCCAAGATGCACCGCGAGAAGGTTACAGAGTCGAAGTAGCAGGACTGCGATCGTTGGAAAGCGTTGAAAGATACGGTAAGATCGAGAATTTTTCGGTGAAAATATTATGATACTTTAATTTTGTTGCCGAGTTTATATCGCAAAGCTGAGAGAAAATTAAACGTTTGCGTTAAAACCGTGAACTGTCACTTTTCAACCTCGGACCAGTTACGTATCGATCCTGAATCTGTATCTCTTCGCGCTGTGTAGTTTTCAATAATGGAATAGCGCGCAGGGCTCGATTTTCACAGGATGTCCTCACATTACGCCACGTCTATATCACGTTAATTTGTATACACTGCCGAAATTCATGTATTTATGGAGGAAAGTAGAATATTCCATACTACGTTTGTGTTTCAAAGCGGACTTGCACGAGAACATCTCGTTAGAATAAAATAATCCCTTCAATGGTGGAGCACGTTCACATATACAAACGAATTATGTGGAAGTAGCAGGTTTTGAAGTGAAATACTGCATATAGAGCACTTTGGAATTAATAATATGTTTTATGAAAGAATGACGGTAATTTAAATATCAGATAAAAATTTATTAATTACTAGATCTATTTATTTAGATCGGTGGAGATTTCTTTGAAACATTTGGAAACTAATCGACAAGAGGAAAAAGGTTAGAAATCACCATATGTTGAAAACGCACTATTATCTCAATAATTCGTAATTACAAAGGAAAAGTAATGTAAAGTAAGACGAAGAAACAATCTTACAAATACAAAAACTCGAACATAATTAGAAACTAACTGACTGTTGAGTTTCGTTAATCACCTGTCAGCAGTAGATGAGTAATTGAAAGAGTAAAAGAGAGATAGTAGCTAGAGACAAGAAGTTGTGAAGCATTTAAGCTTTATCGATCCTCGACGTTAATAATGACGGTGTTAACAATTTAATTCCTATTAAGACGGTCGTGAACCTCTGCTTGCCAGTTAAAATTTAATCTAACTACTTTGCTGGCTCATAATTTTCTCGACAAGGTAT